AGGAATAAAATTGAGATGTTCAACAGTTGAATTGAATATCAAGTAAAATGTTTAGACGGACAGCATATACATTGAGGAAAATATTTTCGCAATTTGCAATGTTTAAATATCTTAAAACAGGGACAGGATGTTTCGAAAATGTTCTTTTCCCTAAATGTTGTTTCCGTTTCCTGTGAACATTACTATGGTTTAATAATAATAAAAAAAAAACCTTTACGATATTATCTCAAAAATCAGATTATTTCTTACGAACAAAATGCGAAGACATTAAATGAATCCGAACGAAGTCCATGGAGTAATGTAGAACAATGGTTTAACACTGACTGAGGTACTATCAACAGTCATACTCATCAAGGGTAGAATGACTCATATCTAGTCCATAACAAAACCAGTAATGATCTAATATTCAACCTGCATCTATATTTAATTTTATGACGTCATCAAAGTACACAAGCTATCAGACTTCTTGCCCAGAAACATTTGGAACGCCTCGGGTTGTAATGGAAGTTGTCCGACCGTACTTCTCCTTTGATGGAGTTTTAGTACTGGATATTAGAACGTAATATTAGAGCCTAACATAGGTAGGCCAGCCTAACCTCTCGTAACCCCAATTTCTCATTAGGAAATGAGCTGAAGTAATCATCTGTCTCCAACTTTACCAGCTGCCTTCAATGTTTCTGATATTAGCTTACTCTGAATCAATTACTCTACATAATATGATGGTCAATTCCAAGATGGCGGTCCGGCTTGTGAATGTCCTGACAACGTTTAGCTTGCCCATCCTTGGCTTGTTTACTGCATTCCCCAAACATCGCTGTCAACACAACATAGTCTGGTATTCCGTTATTTACCTATCTGGTCCATAAAAAAAACATTCACCACACAAATCACTGTGGCCGATTAGGTTAGTATTTAAAGGGAATCTTTAACAAGAATAATACTCGTAACAAGGAACAGCGTATAAAGGAAACTGAAGGTTTTTATTTATTTATTTTAAATTAAGCTGACATTTACAAAATCCACACCCATTTAGTTATATGTACTCAATAGTGTTATTTTAGACTTTAGAGATAAATCTTTTCTGACCTGCGTCAAACTAATTAAGTTGCCGTAAATGTAGTGTTTCATCGAATTCGCAATAGATATCACATGTTTGCTTACTCGGTTTGTGTTCCATGCAATTCTTCTTTTACACCGGTAAAGTACTACCTTTATATAATCTACATATTGTTATTAAATTCAATCTCAAATTACGTGTTAAATCAACAGACCGCCATAAACATCCCTCCGTGAGCCCCTGTCGTCGATAACCCATGGTCTGTACCCTAAGTAAACGCGGGCTCATTCAGATTGCATGGCACTGAACAAGTATTTGCGTTTTTTATATTAAATAGAATAAGAAATAAAATATTTAAGTATCATATCATCGTTATAGGGGAAATACATGTGGATTTTTAAAACCCCGCAGCTGATGTTTCTGGTAAGGAATAAAACCAACCGGAAATGACGTCGGCTTTATTTTTGGTTCTGTAACTGCCACATAACTTTTCATTGCAAACGTTGATTAAATGGCCATGTAGCAATAATCATATTTCACAAACTAATGTGTTGATATAGAATCCTATATTCCAATAAAGTGGTGCGTTATAACGTTGTTAATCCTCCGAGATCATTATACAGTTAATCAACTGTCTTCTATCATTCCTGTGCATGTGTCTGGTTTGCTGAAGGTACAGGACAAAACGAGTGATAGCTCATATGACCAACAGTTCAAGCCCATTCAACGAAAAGGCCTCAAGCTTTGAACGTCACCATTTGCAGACAACATTGTAATTATTCAGGTCACATTGTACCACAATATTATTTACTATTTGTACAGACCACATATGTCAATAGTGTTGTTGTGTGGAGTGCTAGTCACAATCCAACAAGCCCGTGCATGCGCTGTTTTGTTGATTTATATATAAGACTTTTCCTCAAGAACAATTTGTCCTATTTCAACCAAACATGGTAGTTTGTAGCATAAGCAAGGGATGTATATATCATTCTGTAGGTCGATTGATGTTGATGGAAAGAATTGTCAGTGACAATTACAATTGTGACATGGCTAACATCAGTTATAGGTTATGAACAAGGAGGTGTATGCTGGAGTAGAACGTTGTAATGGCATAGTGCATATCATATGTGTCGTGACTTTATTATTTATTGATTAATAAATATCAAAATCTAATTGTTTGCTATGATATCTTTGTGGAAGCTTCCTTTTCATCATTCTGACTTTATTGTGCTGCTAAATCATACGAACTATGTTACCGTAATACACCTATGTAATGTGTGTGGCACTACTACCATGACGAGTTTTTATCAGGGCGTAATCACGTTCATTTATGATATTAAGAGGGACATCAAGGGGAAAGAATATTGAGGATAGAAGTCAATATATCACATCCAAACTTCAGTCGACTCCGACGACCCCTGCAGGGTTAGGGGTAGATAACCCAAAGAATATGATACAGGTGTAACATATTTATGAAAAGCGTCTTTACCTAGTCGGATATCGACGTATTTAAGTATATGGTTGTCCCGTGCACAACTGTTTTTTTGTTTGTTTGTTCTTTTTTTTCAATGCTAGATTATACTTTTGTTTGTAAAATTCATGGAAAGGCGAATAATTGTAACATATACATATATTTCAACAAGGTACACGCTCCTAAACCTCCTTGTTATTATACAACATATCGTCTGTAGTAGCTTTATCTCCACCTAATTATACTGGTAGACAATAAGTTGGATATTAAATAAGTGTTCAGTTTTGTATAAATTGTATGAAATTCAAAAACAATTTAATACTCGCCACACAATTTCCGGAAATGTGCTTGAAATTTGAATTCTTACTCGTTCAGATAATGTCTTTAACGTGTTGGATTCGATAACACTAACGTTATTTACTCTTACATAGAGATGAAATTCGTTGACATAACTTCCTCGTGTGTTTTTCTGTTATGACGTAGAAAACAGTTATTTTTCAATATCAGATACATTGTTTCGATGAGCATCGGATCATTAATGGATAAATTGACAAACCGAAGTTTTGATGACCTTTACTGGAACCTCGAAATACAGATAACATAATACTAGATTTCCGTGATAAGTTTTTAACAAAATTGTCACCACCGCGGGCATTTATCGCAATGGGAAGTATTGTATAACTTTACCAGATCACCAAATTGTTGACAATAAATAGATTGATAGTTAATCACGGAACTTACATGTGTTTTGCTGATGAGAGGACATTTTCGGAAAATGGCAAGAACCAAACTGAATCACCTGAGAATTACAGTGATATTTGTTCTACATAATCACATCGAAAAAACAGAACTCCAGTGAGAAGTAATTTAACCCTGTTAAATATGTAGCGTTATGTGTAAACGAACCGATTAATGTTTCACCTATCAGACACATCGAGGGACGAAATGGATCTAAATCAAGCCAATACTTTACACCGGAAGTAAATTAGTCAATTAAGCACCACCCAAGATGTTAATTACTACATTATAACCAATCAGTGACGGTATTTACATGTAAGGATGGTGCTGATTGTACGTCGAAACTGACGACCCATTATCACCCCGCAAGTTACACCGCCAACCTGTGATTAGTTCTGTTAAAGATTCCAGACCTACTGTGTACACAGCACATCTTTATTCCGCATTGTTTAAACATCCAGTAAATATCCTTGCCGGACATTGGCAGGCTTTGCGCATGACTGCTACATTAGGTAATTTCGTGACAGAGGAGTTGTGTCGTTTAACACCGTCATCAATACAATTTATGTTCATCGCTTTGTCATCCAGTTTTCTGCGAAACAGTGAGTTACAGGTATCTCGTGTGCATGACGTAAACATGTTATCGTCTGCGCGCCGCATATGGTCTTTTTTAATCGACGTCACAAATGTTGATAGGTTAATCGCAGTGGAAATATAGTTTTGAATAAATGGCAAAAAATCCTATTACGCCAGCTAGATTGGATTTTCTCAATGCATCATATCACGCAAACATACCTAGGTTAGCGACAAAAAACAGATATATCATTGGCATAAGTTAAGAATAGTTTGTTTACTCAAGTACGTAGCTACAGAAAACGTAATGGTATAAGATACAGTTTGGTTTATGTGAGATGATGTGTTTTTGTGTTATTGCAACTTTGAAATGAACAATTTAGTTAACGAGAATTTATTGTCGGTCTTCATGTCTATCTCAGTGGCACAGATTCATTTGATCTATATTATGACATTCAAATACTGGAATGTACATTTACTTTAGTTTTATTTATTTATTTATTTATTTATTTGTCAATATCATATCGTATAACTAAATGATAAACTAGCGTTTACAACCGTAATAACAGGTATGCAATACAGATGGAACTGTATCAAAAAACAGCCAACACTGACATAAACAACGTAAAATGTTTGCGTATACAATTCATATGTACTGTTTCTGTTTCGTCCATTCTGAATGGTTGTGAAACAGGAATATACATGCAACAGCAAAACATCCCTAAAGATATGCTATGATTTTAACATTAACAATATCTATTTCTACCTTGGCTAATTTTTTTTCTGTTGGCTTGTTAGCCGGGAAGAGATCAAATACGATTATCAGAGCTAATGATTTCTGTCTTTGTGTCGTGCCCTCAGACACATTTCGTCTGCCTCGACAGCTAAATTACAAAAGAAAAACGTGTTACAGCCGAAAACACTGACCACATCTCGACAGAGCAACATGCTTTGAGATAGAATATTTATATTGTTTTGTGTTGACGCAATTCGGACTGGGCCTCTGTGGGGCAGTGCCTATGTATCAGACTGGCTTTTTGGCCTTGGTGACCTGACAGAGACGTAAACTTGTGATGTAATTACCCTAACCAAATTGAATCAGCCAGCCCCGTAATTACCTTTCAACAATATCAATCAAACCTTGTCTTTTTTATCTTGCAGGCGGACCCCCAGCTTGATCAACGTGATGCTGACCAGGACGTAAGCATAGACGAACTTCCGGTTGATGATGACGGAATTGATGAAAAACGAAACTTTGATTCAATCTCCGGAAGTGGTAGGTTGTCGGGATTTGCGAAAAAGACATTTGATTCTATATCTGGAGGTCATGGTATGCGAGGCTTTGCGAAACGCAAATTTGATTCTATATCTGGAAATGGTGGGATATCCGCATTCGCAAAACGCAGATTTGATTCTATTTCTGGAAATGGAGGAATGCCCACATTCGCAAAACGCAAATTCGATTCGATTTCTGGAACTGGAGGAATGTCTTCATTCGCAAAGCGCAAATTTGACTCCATCTCCGGGAATGGTGGAATATCTGCATTTGCAAAACGAAAATTTGACTCCATCTCTGGAAATGGTGGCATATCAGCTTTTGCAAAGCGCAATTTTGATTCGATCTCTGGAAATGGCGGGATTTCTTCCTTCACAAAACGAAAATTTGATTCAATCTCCGGAAACAGTAGGCTGTCTGGATTTGCAAAACGTCCCTTTGACAAAATATCTGGGAATTCTGGCATCTCGGGCTTTATGAAAAGAAGGTTCGATTCAATTGATGGAGCTGGCGGGATAGCAGGATTTAACAAACGTAGGTTTGACTCCATTTCCGGAAGTGGTGGTCTTAGGGGATTTTCAAAAAAGAACTTTGATAGCATCAACGGAGGCGCAGCGTTCCAGGGTTTCGTAAAAAGACCTGATGTCAACGAAGACGCTGAAGACGAAAGAGAAGAGTTCTCTAAGAGACGTATGGATTCAATCGCTGGAGGTGGATTCGGAAGTTTTAGCAAAAGAAATTTTGACTCGATAGATGGAGGATCGCTTGCCGGGTTTGCGAAGAAATCATTTGATAGTATCAACAGAGCGGGACTTAGCGGCTTCGTGAAGAAGAATGACGAAGCTTGAACTTCGCGTTTCGGGTCACTGAGGTAGTGTATGACGTTTACGTACAAAACAATGTACAACGAAGTACAACATCATAAAACCGCGTACAAGATACAATGTACATAACACAGTGGGAAGGCATGACGTACACAGTACACAATCGATATTTTTATGTTTCTCATTGTGTAACAAGATCGCAATTTTAATTATCTGTAAATATAAATATGCAAAAAGAAATATAAGGACTATTTTATTATGGCGTGAGAAGGCAGTGGAAGGGCGGATGTGAGGGCTGGACTGGCCAGTGATATGGACTTTATTCAATATTTGATTCATGTGATTTTCTCATCTTCGTTATTGTTATTTAGCAGACAGGGTACTGTTTTTATTTTGCATGCTTTTTGTTTTAGATGGCTTCCCATCTAGATGATGTACAACTTTTTCAGTAAATGACGGAACAATGTTTTGCTTTAAATCAACCGACGATGGTTTTCGTTCAATGAGCCACAACGTATACAGTTTTATCCTGTGTCATGTCTGAAGAGCTTTCAGTCCTCTTTAGTTGAGGATCTGTTTCCCGAACGTTTTCATTCAGGAGTCTTTTCTTTATAATTTATGTGCATTTCAAATAAAATCATCCTACAAGTTGTACTGGTTATCTGGATTTTTTAGTAAGTAAACTTATTAATGAAACAAGTGTTTAATGTTTAATCCGGAGTTAGATACACGATGTTAGTTGACACAAGCACTAACGTTTATCCAGCATTTAGATGTCAAACGAACATAAACAGCTTTCATGTCATTCATATATTGACGATTGTCTGTTTAAAGCAACAAAAACTCGGTGATTCGTGTTACCCCTGTCTCAGCTGACCATAGGTTGCCTCTTACTTAGTGTTGTTAGTATCACACAATGATTGGGATATAACGCTGTTCTTCCAGATCAAGCAACGTGTTTCCTGTGGATTAGTGGACGTTTCGTGGTGATCCCGACAGGTCCCCCTTCGTTCGAAACATATCTATAGAAATATATGCGACCAGACAGTGTTTCGTTGATATTTTAACCAAACGTCAGCTGACTTTCCACTTAACTTTATCACATTCTGTGAAGCATAGATTATTAAAAGACCTACGGAATCGAATAGTAGATACGTCATTTAAACCAGGAAGTCGTTGTCATAATTCTTTTATTAAAATGTATTGTCATTAAGCCCCTAAAAGCTGAACAGGCGGGACAAGTCTAAACATTGCCACGACTTTTACTTAGAGAATGGCCAGACATGAAAAAATATTATGTTATAGTCATGATGACAGAAAAGCGAAGCAAAGTCACATTCGTCTGGTGTATTTGGCTGTTACTGAAAATAGGCAGGCAGGAGAAAAACATGGCAACATTCGGACTCGGACACTATTAAAGAAATGTAAACATATTGCTATACATCATATGATCATATAATACCCGGTAAACAACAAACAAAAATACCAATATGCCAACAGAATCATAATCCAAACTCGAATTCAACAAAGTTTTGACAAAATATAAACAAAAGAAAGATTTTCATGGATATTGGGCAGTAAAAGAAGATTAAAACAGTGTGCTCCGGAAGAGTAAGCGTCTTCTGCTTTATCGATTACACCAGCCATGTAAACCTTGGTCAATCCAGGTCAGTAATGCCATGCTCCACAATGTTAACATAGGAAAAGATACACGAGCATGCATCGAACAGACCCAACTTCATGTCACATCAGAAAATAAATTATTCCTATATTGGGAAAATTTTGAGACAATTTGACATTATTGAGACAATTATATATTATTGAGATAATTATATATTATTGAGACAATTTGACATTATTGAGACAATTATATATTATTGAGATAATTATTGCGACCGTAAAATTTCAATTTCAGTTCTCGAACACACAGGCACTAACTATTTGAATCCGAGAAATGAAATATACATTTGATTGATGACTTGTCATAAACTACCAGGTCACATGTACATTTGGTATACAAACTGTCATTTCAAACACGGATAACATGGAACACCACTGAAAAGTATGAGGTTTGAGAAGAAGCTGAAGGTGTATGCGTGTGTTGGGGGGGGAGCTGAAAATCCGGTCTGCAATGAAGAAAAATATATAAAAGCTCGGCATAGACAAAACATTTCACTGCAACTTCAAATCACCTAGTAATAACGAGGCTGTTGATATCATCAACGTTTCAGCTGTACCAAAGTACAGCACATTATCTTACAGTGTACAATATAGATTGACTGTTGATTTCTACCAACTGTATCTTATTCTAAATTTGTATTAAAAATGGTTCATTAAATAACTGTGTTCATTGTTTACTGGATCTACATATCCCTTTATTGAATAACTAGGGAACAGATATATTAACATCACGTGAGCGATCAGAGTACCAAAACAAAAGTCAGCACATTATGGTCCAACGGTATAACTGTAAATAAAGATAAGTAAACAGCTATACTTATATCAGCATTTTCGTTCCAAAACAAATATCATGGTAATAGTTATACCATCTCTTTCAAATTGAACAAAAGACACACAATTGGAAAGTAGATTGAAGTAAAACAAGACACTCGTCAAATCAAATCAACCAAGACGCTGAAAATAAACTCTCAGACTTGACATTAACAACGACACTGACAGTAAACTCGTCAACATAGATATAAGCCAAGACACTGACAGTAAACTCGTCAACATAGATATAAGCCAAGACACTGACAGTAAACTTGTCAACATAGATATAAGCCCGGACACTGACAGTAAACTTGTCAACATAGATATAAGCCAAGACACTGACAGTAAACTTGTCAACATAGATATAAGCCCGGACATTGACAGTAAACTCGTCAACATAGATATAAGCCAAGACACTGACAGTAAACTTGTCAACATAGATATAAGCCAAGACACTGACAGTAAACTATAATATAAGCCAAGACACTGACAGTAAACTCGTCAACATAGATATAAGCCAAGACACTGACAGTAAACTTGTCAACATAGATATAAGCCAAGACATAGATATAAGCCAAGACACTGACAGTAAACTTGTCAATATAGATATAAGCCAAGACACTGACAGTAAACTCGTCAACATAGATATAAGCCAAGACACAGACAGTAAACTCGTCAACATAGATATAAGCCAAGACACTGACAGTAAACTCGTCAACATAGATATAAGCCAAGACACTGACACTGACAGTATAACTAAACTCGTCAAAACTCGTCATAGATATAAGCCAAGACACTGACAGTACATAGATATAAGCCAAGACACTGACAGTATACTCGTCAACATAGATATAAGCCAAGACACTGACAGTAAACTCGTCAACATAGATATAAGCCAAGACACTGACAGTAAACTCGTCAACATAGATATAAGCCAAGACACTGACAGTAAACTTGTCAACATAGATATAAGCCAAGACACTGACAGTAAACTTGTCAACATAGATATAAGCCAAGACACAGACAGTAAACTTGTCAACATAGATATAAGCCAAGACACTGACAGTAAACTCGTCAACATAGATATAAGCCAAGACACTGACAGTAAACTCGTCAACATAGATATAAGCCCGAACATTGACAATAAACTCGTTAACATAGATATAAGCCAAGACACTGACAGTAAACTCGTCAACATAGATATAAGCCAAGACACTGACAGTAAACTCGTCAACATAGATATAAGCCAAGACACTGACAGTAAACTTGTCAACATAGTCAACATAGATATAAGCCAAGACACTGACAGTAAACATTATAAGACAATAAAACATAGATATAAGCCAAGACACTGACAGTAAACTCGATATAAGCCAAGACACAGACAGTAAACTCGTCAACATAGATATAAGCCAAGACACTGACATTAAACTCGTCAACATAGATATAAGCCAAGACACTGCCTCATGATTTCTGGACCTGTTAACGTTTCATGAATATGTTACCAGAAAACATTGTCTTCTCACTTTTTCACGTGCAAGTGATGACCATTACATCATAAAGTTGTCGTTCGTTATGGGACAGTGTGATACATTTAGCGTATTTGGTAATTGACACGCCTCTTCTACCTATGTTCATTGTCACGAGACCCCATGCGCACATTAAACAATGCGACATTTTCATTGAGTCTAGCTGTTGGTTCCCTTCTTCACTCTTGTGGCTGAGCCAATTGATTTCTCTCTGTGTGTACTGTTAAAACCCAAATTACTAGTGGATGAAGCGTACACACAATCAACAACAACAATAAAGCCCACTTACTGAATGCTATTAATTAAGGCAAAACATCAACGAGTTTCGACTAGTTCACTAGCATGCGGCAAGAGATACGTGAAGAGCCGTGAAGATCTCTCGACTTCTGATTGTAAAACCTATTATGATATTGGTTTTTCGTTTTTCTCTACTTTTTTTATTGATAAGTCAGCCATTCCTCAGCTGAGATCCTTAAAATGAATCATTATGGCGCAGATATCTTGACATATCGATATAATATAATCATTTAATCTGATCTTCTTTCTCAGAATCTAACCACCGTTTTCGAACGACGGGAAAATGGCTGTACGTTTGAATGCATGTAACTCCAAATTATTTGGAATTCAAGGATAATTGTGCTGCTACATAATACCATTAATGATCCCACTAACTCAAATAGATAGTATTTTCATATTTTTAAAAGAAATTTCAAATTATACAACAGAACGAAAATAACATCTAGTCAACATGATCTTCATTCAAACAGAGATGCGGTGGACAGAGAGAAATATGAACAGAAAATGTGCACAGAGATTCCAGAAAAGGTACATTCAGACAAAGGGAAGGTGTTCCGGAAGGGAAAACATCTTCTGCTTCATCGCAGACGCACGCCTTGTAAATCGTGTTGCATGAAGGAAGTAAAATAAAGTCTCAGTTTTAGATCATCATGACCGCTGTGCAATGATGATCATCAATGTGTTATGTGTGTGTGTCGTGATATTCAG